CCCCCCGCCCCAGAAGGCTGGCGTTTTCAAGCCAACAGCTGAGAAAGCAGTGGTGGATGGGACTCGTTTTTGCCACTCTTTCAAGTGACAGCTAATAGAAGTGCCTCTCAGTATCCAGCTGTTTCAGTTCATCAAGGGTGAGGGGTGGGGGGAGCAGTAACAGAACTGCTAGGTTCCACCTGAGACTGAGGGGCAGGAGACCCCCCAAGTCTCCACTTCATTAGGGAAAGCTGGACATTCCATGACTCAAGGGAAACAGAAATGGGCTTCAGTGGCTGATTTTTAGGGAATTATGAATCCATCACAGCAGGGAGAAGGGGACGTCAGGTTTACTTGAGGCCATGTTTACTGTGAGCAGACTACTGGGGTGACCAGTAATTGGCAGCAGAATCAGAAATCCAGGGACTCAGGGCCGCCTGCAGCAGGTCTTCTGGCCACACCAAAATCAATCACAGTGTGCTCCTTCCGTTGTCTGGAATCCATTAGACATTAGACATTGTGTGCCCCTGCCCAACCCCCACTCTGCAGCTCTGAAGGTTTTATAGAAATTTCTCACCACCTATTTAAAAAGAAAAATAATTCAGCCTCTTGACAAAACCTTTGTGAACAAACAGGGTCTTTTTTTCTTCTGCTCATAAAAGAAGGGAATCTCCTCATCTGGATATCAGACCAAACACTAGTAGTCTTCAGAGGGCCAAGATGTTCTCCGGGGATTGCACTGGTGCTGCGGGCGGCAGGCCCGAGGCAGCGTCAGTTGGTGTCCATGCTGCACGCTTCCTCCTCCCCCGGGCCCCGCTGGGAGCTGCCCGGTCTCGTCCCTCCATCAGAGGGTCCCGGAAGACTGGTGGGTGAGGGCGTCTGATGAAGCTCGTCGTCTCGACGCTGGTAAAACAGCACGTAAGCTGCTTTTGTCTAAAACACGAGAGGGGAGAAGTCCATTAACTGGTTGGGAAAATACCCATTCTTCCCAGCTTCTGTCTTACTGTTCAGATCACGTCCTCTCAGGGACCTGCCACCTTGCCTTGTGCAACCACACACACAGGCGACCGTGATGGCCCTTCACCCTTGGCTACTTGTGCAAACCCTGTCCAGGGGGTGGGGAAGGCAGGTGCCTGTGACAGAACCCTGAGGAGTCAAGCTTCTCACTGAGGAAGGGCCCAGAAGGAAGGCCCAGCTCCCAGTTTCCACTGTCACATCAGGATGACTAAATAACCAGCTGGCCTGGGGGACTCTTCCTCGCTTTGGTCCATAAGGCAAAGAGGAGAAAGCAAGTATCAGGGCTACTCACCACTATCTGATCCTCAGAGGCCAGGGACACATTGCTGTCATCAAAGTAATACCATTTCCCATTCAGTTTGTTCTTCGCATATGCAGTGTCTGCCAAGTCAAAAGGAAAGAGTCTAGCAGCCACCAGAGAGCTCATTTGGCCAGCTGATCAGGCCTGCACCAAACAGAACTCCAAAAAGTGAAAAACAAAGACCCCGACACTGGAAGTAATTTACAACTCGTATCTTAACAACCAAAAGAGAACTCATCTCTTTTTCAAATCTGTACCTTCTCAAAAAGGCTTGAAGAGGGTAAAAATGGAGCTGTCAGGGGAAAACACTTTAAACCGCAATTTTGGGAAACAAATCCAAAAAAACAGAGAAATCCCGTGTCAATTTTCAGGATGGTTATGAGCAATAATCCAGAGCCAGGGAACCCATAAAGGAGCTGAGACTTCAAGATTTAAGCAAAACAATAGTTCTCTCTTTCACTTATTGATTTTAGAAGGAGGGCAGAGGGAGAGAGAGACAGAGAGAAACATTGATTTGCTGTTCTACTTATTCATGTACTCATTGGTTGCACTTTTTTTTTTTTTTTTAATATATTTTTTTTGATTTCAGAGGGGGGAAAGGAGAGGGAGAGAGAGAGA